AAAGGACAAGCAAACTACATGTTATAAGCCAATCAATCATTCAATCAATCAATCAATCAATCAATTAATTTATTAATTAATTAATCAATCAATCAATCAATCAATCAACCAACCAAGCAACCAACCATCCAAGCAACCAACCAACAAACCAATCAATCAATCAATCAAGCAAGCAAGCAAGCAATCAATCAATCAATCGTTAATCAGTACTGAGCATAAATATTCATTTGGCCGGATTCAAATATATCTAAAATATCTTTGAAATACTTGTCTATATTTCAAACTGATAAAAAACGTGTATTATTATTTCTTTTTTTTTTTTCTTTTTTTTTTGATAAATTAAAAAAAAAATGTAATGACTGAGAAGCGAATGGTGAGACGGCACAAGTTGATCCGGGCGAACTTGGTCTGCGTTTGTCGCATATGTGGCACATATAGCCATCAGTCTAAGAACTTACCATACTTTAAATACGCTCGCGAGCAGTACGCTAATAGGTTAGTCGTCCGGTTAGCAAAATTGGTGGAGCGTTTGTCTGTGAATCGAGCGAAACCGGTTCGATTCCCGGACGGAGCAGATCACTTTTATTGTGAATGATCATGAAATATTTTCTACGGTCATTCGCACTGTACCACTGTTCTAGCATGTACGGAAGTTATCAGTTAATTGCGAGAGTGAAGGCAACTAGAACTGGTAAACTGCTTGACAGCCTTGCCTGGTACCTTCATTTTTACATGTAGCGTTACTAAGTATTCAAGTATTCAATGAGAATAATACTTATTAAACTTGGGATTATGTTAAGCATACATAATTATTTCGAATTAAGCCGAAGACATAATAAATTCTATAACTCATTTATAAATCTTCTTTCATATTAATAATGACGTGAAAACAGGTTCTGTATGGCTGCTGTTATTCTCGGCAGGTCGTTTTATCACAGGAACTTGAAATTCTATCAATATTAATATATAATAACCAATAACCCTATCGTATAATTTTATAGAATAGGGTATTGGATTTATCATTATTTAGTTTTTGAAGATTTCAGTTCGTGGGTTTATTATATCATAATGGCTTCCAACATCGAAAAGATATTGTTTGAACATCGTGTATTATCGCCTTTCGTGTATTATCTCATTTCGTCTATTTGTACAGCAATCGTTCGTAGAATAGTGATATAAATTCTTTGACATGCATGTAATCCTTTACTAGGAACTAGTGTACAAATCAATTAAATTACTATTGCGCCGCTGCCATTTAACGCACGTGCCCGAAACATGTCTGACTCTCGTCTTGGGTGAAATCACGCGTGAAATCGCGATAAAAAAGGAGATAAAGCGATGTGGAGACTTTCTGTTTTGCGTGAAACACAGTGTTTCGATACGATGATACGGCTATTAAATAAATGTTTTAATCGGTAGAAGAATGAAAGACCACCATGACGTTTCAATAGAAAACCGTTTAAAATTCCAATGTGTTCTGTGTCTCCCAGCTGGCTGATATTCCAAACAACGTTGACTACGTCATTGAAAAGTACTCTCTAAAACGTTCAACAGCTATTCTTTGAATGCATTTTTAAAGCATCCTTAATTATTTCTCATTGCTTTGCTTTCAATAAGTGTATATAACTTACACTCGCGATTTGTAAAATCAGTTGATGCTTTTGTAAGAAACAATGTCCCCAAGGAAACCTTAAAACCTTAACTTATGCACATGGGAGTAAACATTCCGTGTTAGGTCTAAATTATAAGGTTATGCGATTTCTTTATGCTGTTGTTTTTTCCTTAAGGTATTAGTCTTATTAAAATCTTAAGTATTATTATTGGTTCGATGCTATACTAAATGTTAGTAAGCTAAATTGAAGACAAATTGTTTTATCTGCTATATGCATGTTTCACATTTTCATGAATCAAAACTTTTACATTTACATACAATGTTATATTTAAAAGATGCAGTTTGTCAAGTTAATTTCACTTTCGAAAAATATAGATTAATTATTTCATACTATATTTGAGACAATATGATAAAATGTTCGTAACGGATGTAGATAAGACGTTTCGGCTACATATGAATTTATTTATTTTCATGTTTTTAGAATAAATCCAATTACTCGTTTCGGGAGGGAACAGTGCCCACAATATCCACAATATGTTTTACAGTTACCCGGTGTTTTATTACATTCAACATTCTAAATCACTGACTGCATTTATGCATTTTGGTTATTTTTTCAAATATGAAATTATCTTCTTTATTCAAATTTTATTTCATCTTATAAAAAATTCAGGAAAGATATCTCCTATTCATCAATATATATATAAAAGTTATGTAGAGTTTTCTTATGCCCTTTTTACGGCATTCAAAAAATGCATTCTAATAATACATCTATACCGAAATAAATGATCAGGTGTAAGAACTTAAACATAAGATGTGTATTTAATAGATCCGCATGTTTGTATGCATTACATCAAATTGGAATCATGATAATGACGTCATAAGTATTTTTAAATAATGATTTAGAGTGCCGGATGTAGGAAGACTAAATCTCTTAACCGTCTTCAAACTTTCTCTCTTTTCATATTAAAGGCCTTAAAGCGTTCAATTATCTGTGTGACATTTTAAACGGTTTAGCAACGCGTGATAAATTGCCCATCTACTTGCTTAAGTTGTCATTTATTTATCTTAAAGGTGCCTAAATTGGCTGATAGAGATATTGCGGGTCAATATTTTTCATAAGCGGTATACATTACTGATAAAAGAATAATCCATTAAAGGCAATATTTTCATCTTGTTTGCTCACGGATGATATTCGCAAATCATACCAATAGTCCGTGCACTTTAATAGCAGATAAGCATCAACGAAAGACATTTGAAAATCGCAAGATATCTAAACGTGCGGAACACTTAATCCGTAAAATGTGTAACCAATTACTAAAGAAGAAAAATACTTAATGACTCTGTTGCTCAAATCGAGAATTGTCGCGCTGTCAGACCTGTTTAGAAATCATGCCAATTTTACTGAGATATCAAGTGTTTTCCAAACACGAGGTGAGGGCGGCCAAATTCCATAACGCGAGAACAATTACCCTTTAAAGCTCTATTAACGTCACATGGTTACTAGACGGTCTTTCCTCGACTTTTAATAACTGACGTGTATCAACATTTCATCATGGGTCCTATTTGCCTGGAATTGATTCTTCGTTTTTTGCCCTATCAACATATGCATATGATGTCTTGTGAATTGACGGTCGTAATTAAAAACACAATATGATTAAATGCTTGCCACGTGCGGAATGTAACCATTAATTGATATGGAATGGCTAACCATATTCTCTGCTGATGAAATATACTACATTACACGAGCATTCGTTTGGTATGAAAAAAGTAATACAAATAATAGTTGATTTTTAGGAATGCATCTCTAAGGTATATTCTCGTAGCTATTTCCCTTCCTTATTAACACGTGAACATTGTTGTGCTGGTGTTTCATTTAAATTGTGTTGTAAAGCATATGCAAAGTGCAAACTTAAGAATAAAACTCACCGGCTTTGTTAAATGAACGGTTTATTTTAACATATGTCATTTGTATAAAGCCAGTATGTTGAAGCACACCAGTTCAAATATTAACTTGTTTGAAAGAATATAATAAGACTTATCATGTAACTAATGTTTCGATGGATGTGAAAATGACGTTTTGGCTATTACTAAAAAAACAACAACAACAACAAAAAACAGTTGATTCTCATATATCAAACTACAGTATAAATGTTCAATCACACAGGTTTTTCTATTCCCTGCTTTTGCACAATGTCACTTGAAAAGGCAGCCATTTGTCTGAATTTCAATACTGAAAGTTTTTTTTATTACAAATGTATCACTTTTTTGACGACATGGTAATTAAGGAAATCGTCTATAGTACTACGGTCAAAAATCATACGCGCAATATTCAAGCGCTTAATTATGAATTTGTGAGATAAACGAACAAAAACCTAACAATATTTCTACAAATGCCCTACCGATCTGCCATCGGATTGTTTCAACATAGTTTTATCACCGTCGTGATGTTATTCACGTTATCTTTAATGTTCCAAAATTGACCAATTGATTTCATTATTAATGCTATCCTTCCAAGCCGCTTGACACATGGAATTGCTAATATTTGCCGCCTCCTTTTCCCCGGAGAGATTACGATGATATGGCCTTCTTTTTGACACGACATCTTCCTGATAATTAACATTTAATTTTAAATTTATAAAGTTAGATTGAGAGCCGTCTTTATACCGGATATTCCACGTGCATAATATCGTACGACATTTTAGTTTAAAATTATGTTGTTGTTTTTTCCGTAGAAATATAAGTTCAAAAAGTATGACGATTCACATATGTCTGTAAAGTTGTCCTAGGCATGTATTGAATTGTGTTAAAGATGAGCAGTAAACATCATTCATCGGAAATGTCTAGATAGTTGCTACAATTTTTTTTTTTTTTTTGAAAGTATAAGCGTTTTTTATAATTCCAAATACTTGCAGGGTCGGGATCGCTTTAACAATTTACAAACAAACAAAGAACAAAGAAAAACAGAACAAAATCCAAAAACAATCAAGAAAAAAATAATGAAAAAAAAAATAAAATAATAAAAACACGGCCATTTTTTAAACAACAATGTTGTAGACAATTATGGAATAGTTTTAATTGCTTCGGGAAATAAAACAATTACGTGTTTATATTGCATCAATAGGTTGTTAAAATAAATGATATTTTATATGTGATTTATTTATGATTAAGAATAATATATCTGAGATATAACTTCTATATGTGGACGTACTTCTGCTTAATCATATTAATAGATAGATAAATCAAAGAGCAAATAATATTCCGTTATGAGCGGCGATAAACATACCTTCACGTCTGGAGCGCCACTCACACCTATCAGAAACAAAAGTAGGCGGAGCTTAGTTTTCTTGATTGCCAGAAATCGGCGCTAGAGAACATTTTAGAGCTATCAATACACTTCTGGCAACTCCAGCTCATTTGCAAACTAATTGATTTATAGAAATTCCTGTGAGCTCCTTAATTTCACTTATTGCCATGGCTATCATTTAATCGATCTTCATACAGGGTTGATATTGCGGTGTGGGAATTGCCCCGGCTTTAACAGTTTAACACCAATAGAATTGTCGCAAACAAGTGTTACAGTATTTTCATAGAAAAAGAAATGAGAGAAAAATGCTACCAGCAATTTATTTTCATGTTAGATTGCTGAGAGAAATCTTCTTAATTGCATGCAAGGACACTGCCTTTCCTAAATGGATAATGCTGTTTGACTAAAAACCAGATGTGCTTAATTGGTGATTTTCAGGGCGCGTGGACATCGGAAAGGACTTAAGAAACGATTGAATGGTGTCTAAATAACTCTGATGAACAATTAAAGAGGACTTTATTTCAGGAAAAGCTTTAAAATAGAAATGTTACAGACAGTTTTCGGCATCGTTATTTAAAACAGCATTTAACTTATTTATAAGAAGATAAAGGATTAATACTACATTTGTACTTATTTTCAACTTTAAGAAAACAACAGTTATAAAAAGAGTGATTTCAAGTGATTTCTATTAATACTAGCGATGGAAGGACTTATCCCATACAGCCGGGGATTCTTTTATCCCCTGCCATTGTCACTGACCAGTGTTCAGCTTAACACCTGGCATCATCACGTGTACGACAAACCCGCGAAGACCCCTACACCGTTTTTCATCTCTAACATTTTAAATCTTGATCCAGAGAGAAAAATGAAATCGGACTCTTCGGACTCAAGTGACAGATCCATTGCTAGTGTTCAGGACAGAGCTTATATGTTTGCCAACTCTGGATTTAGTGGTCGTATGTTTAGTGCTCAAACTCGCTACCCTAATGTAGTGGTTCGTGCCGGAAGTCCGGTGCGACTCGGTGAAGATCATGATGGAACCAGGGTTCGAACTCAGTCACCGTGTAATTTTCCAAGGGACGGCGTAGAATCTCCTCAGGAAGGTATCTTTTTTTTCTTTTTATTCTTATAGTATCACCTACTTGAAAAAAAACAGCGTATCTATAGCTTACGATGTCAAAAAGGGGACTTCATTCGAAATTATGTATGGATAACTTAAAAAAAAATCCGTTTAAAATTCGAAATTGTGAAAATATAAGATTCTAAATGGAAAGCACAATCACTTATACATAGTCATCATTGCGTTTTACAGATCTGTAAAATTAACAAAATTACTTCATTGCATTTATCATTTAAAGATGTCAGAATAAATTATTAAGAGCAAAATACGAAACATTTTTTTATGTTGAATTAGTGTTTACTCTTGATGTACAAACCATTTAAATTCTTGAAATCTGTTTTAATATATAAGTTATATAGAACCTATAAGGGTTCTGTAGTTGTATTTAACGGATTTAGGGTATTAGTTGTTTTTTTTATTAGATACAATATTAAAATTTTTAGATTCCATTCTTGGTGTTTCATTTAGATGTGTTAAATACTGATTTATCAGATTGGTTGATTATTTGTTTGTCTATTTGTTTGGGTGCTTATTTTTCTTTCTTTTCTTTTTTTTGTGTGTGTTTTATTATAAATGCTATTCATTTATACATGTAGTTCTTGGCAAATTATTGCGTCTAGGTGATTTTTAATTAAAACAAATGCATTGAAGACTAAGCCTTAAAGACAAACACTTATTGAATTGTGTGCTATTCAAGTATATATTTCTACCTTTAAGGCCAATACCAGAAGAGGAATTAATCAAGTACAGTTATACATTTATATTTCCCTGTTGTAACGCCAGTTCTAATATCAATTCTTCATTATTTTATAATGTATGGTATATTATAAACTAACACACCATTAGATTAAGGCTAACCTTTTTTAAAAATAAAATATTGTGTTTTCCATAGTAAACATATTGGCAAATATACAAATGAAACAGTTTTAAAAGAATAGAACAGGACATTTTACGCATAGTGCTGCAAATTGCGTGGACACCCCATCACACCCTGCCCTTGGACCCCTGCAAAATGTTTCACTATCAAAATTATAGTTATAGAGTTATATTAGTCTATAGCAATAATTTTGATAGTGAAAAAAAAATATTGGTGGTTTTGTATTTAGTATCTTATAGTAAGCCTTAGTAGTGAATTATTTTTTTTCAGGGTTGTAGCAGGGGTCCAGGGGCAGGGTGTGGTGGGGTGTCCAAACACTGATACTGTCACCTGTGGCCTTTAACTCTTGTATTAACTCTTCACCTGCAGGCGGTACTGCGACCAGTGCATACTGAGATCAAGATTATGGTCTTGCATTCGTTATGTTATTATAGAAATATTTAAAAGCAGCATGCCTCTAGGTATATGCTAATTTTCATTAAAAATGAAATGAATTTAAAAGTAAAATCTTGTGAAGTGAATAAAGAAAGTGGTTTACTAATTGCAAACTGCACTTACCATTGTGCATAAATTAACATCAACGCACTAAATGTCTGAAATTCAAATGTGGAAAAATAAATACTTACAAGAAAGTATCAGTTTATGTTGTCACACTATACACTATAGGCACTACATTTATATGAAGTTAGTGCTAATATATAATATTAACATGTCTGGTGCCATCTAAGAATATTTAGTGAGAAGTAATCGGCACTTTTACAGCTACAGAGATTTAGATAAGTTTCAATATTCAAAAAGGTTATTCTATAGCAAATACAAATGTAACTTCCAAATGTCATGTGTGGTCAAATATTACCTAATGTACATATTTTTTTTAATGTGCGCCATTCGTTGAACCACGTGACCATATTTGATAAACTTAAAGCAACATGCCTATAGATGATGTTGTAAAAGTTAGTATCAAAATTTACAAGTGGTATATTGACTACACAGTGTTTTACTTGTTATTGATCTTTGATAATGATCCGAATTTTAGTTACGTGTTAATGAAAAGGATGAATAGAAAAGGATTTTAACGCTGTTTTTTTCTAGTCACGTGACAATTTATCAGCGTAAGTGACTTCATGGACCTCACGTAACAGTGTAACGCCATATTGAGTCAGCTAGAAGGATATTCTACTCACAAATCGCAAAAACGCATTTACAAAAAGAACACGTAAAACAAATTTCTGATAATAATCAAATTTCAATTTTAAACAAATAAAAACCATCCTGTATTCACTACATTTTTTCAAATTTTGATACTAAATATTTTGCTTAAACGTGTTTCCCTGTAACCAAGTGCGCACGTTCCTTATTTTTGAAGTAATTTATAAATGGTCAATACCCAGATGATACTTTAATGACACAATGCAAAAAGTAACACTATTTACTACATTTATCAATATAAGACTATTACTAACGGAATAAGAGAAATGTCTGCATATTTTGACATTCCAAATAACCAATGTTATCTTAAACCCTTTATTTGTACATTTGGCAACATATATCATATTTCCTCATTTTCTCAATTTTCAAAATTTGAAGAAAACAACAACAAAAACAAATGAAATAAACTGCTGCTAAGGACATCAGGGCATAAAAAACCCAGTTAAATAAGGAGTGTTTTAACTGTTTTTTATATAACTTTTTATGTAACACTACGCAGGTCATTATTTTTGCTGGCCAATTTTGTAGAAATACCTTTTTCTCCATTCCTTTTGTTACTTTTTAGTATTAATTTAAAGCTACACTCCCCCCAGATGAGTAACATTTTTTGTTCAAAGATTGAACTGTAGAAGGACATTAGAAAAAGTTTTTTTAAAAAAATCAAATATTCACTATCTTTGTGACGTTTTATATGGTCTTTGTAAGATCCCTTATTTAATAATCATATTTTACCACGTTACTAAGGGTGGAAACTTTTTTTTTTATATTTTTTACAGACCATTCGTAATATTTTCTATGATACATATAGTAATTCGCTAGTGCTTTAGACGTGCTGAAATCATATTACTTGACAAAGGTTTACTGCTTTGGACATGTTCCTAAATTTTCATTATCATACGAACGCATACATTACTAAGCATTTAAAGACTACCATACCGGCATATTCGACATGCTTAGGTTTATGGAAATAAAGCATGCACTGTAATAGTGAAAATATTGTCATGTGAACAAATAAAGTAAATTTAAGCACTAATAGTCCACAAAAAAGTCCATGTAAGTTACCTAAAATGTACCAAATAAACACAAACTGCTATCATACTTTTAATATGATATAGAAATGGCGAAACAAGATAGTAATAAGTTTACGCATATTATGCATATAGTTTGAGAAATGCTGCATGGATTGTTAACACTCAAGCTCTTGATGTGATTCTTTTCTAAAATTTGGACTTTTTTAGATCGTTCCTCCCTCAGTGGACGTGCAGCTTTAAGAACTTTTCACAAAATACAAAAACCAAGTCAATAGTTTCTTATCTGGAATTATCTTATTTGTCTCCGGTTCTATATATTTTAAATCGCCAATTGATTCCGACTTATGCTTGTAAAGCTCTGCTTAATTGACCTCTCTAATTTTATATTTTGAGTTATAATGCCGTAATGAAAATGATATCTCTATAATTCTGAGAATTTAAGTCCCCGGGGACGTGATTGTGATATGGTGGTAGGCATTAACTGCTAGTTAAAATCACGCGGCAGGACTTTAATGAGCTATTTACGAAAATAATTTTGATGGGCAAAGAGTACTGGTATTTTTGTTAATTTTACAGATCTGTAAATGTCAAGAGAACTTAGCCGACTACCAATAAGTTCTATTTATCTTGTTGAAATTAATATAGTGCGTTTAATTTCGGAATGCATATATATTTTTATGGCGGAATGCATAAATTTACTTCAATAAAACTTGCCATTTGCACATGACAAGCAACTTCTCCGCATGTCGACTCCAAAAATAAGCTGTTGGTGCAAATGATTTACAAAAAAACCTACTTCCTCAAAAATTCTTTCAAGATGAGAAATAAACCGGTTAACATATTATATTTTAGACATCTCAAACTAGAATTATTTAATATCATTAAGATTATTATGCAACGCATTTGAAAATATTCTTCTAATCAACATTGATGTTATATGTTCGATTATGTTTAATAAACTGAAATTAAAATTAAGTGATCAACTTTGTACACAGAACACTTACCAGCAGCTTGATAACGAAACACATGTTTTCTGTAACAATGTCTTCTTACAACTGTAAAACCGGAAGACTCAATATGTCTCTAACAATGTCTATCTGATTTAAAGATGTATTAGGCTCAAATTTGATATTAAAAAAAAATATTGGAAATTGCTACACAATTCCTTTGTAAAGGTCAAATTAACATGTTTGGAGTATATTTATAATGTTTTGAACTCTACACATTACAGGTAGACACAGTATGAATACATAGTGCAATTACAAAAAACTGGCATTTTTTTTTAAAGAAATGGCCAACTTTGCTCGACTAGTTATTGGGAATGCAGTTTCCAATACACAGTTTGTGCATTCTATTATTCAAATTAGACAAAATTAGTAAGAATTTCATGTACTTATATAAATTTCTGCAATTAAATATTTTACTAAAAGATGAGCCAAGTATATCTGTAAAACTGCACCAACCAGCGACGATATCCGGTGTTTGACTTTACACGAGAATAAGTTCTTGCAAATATAGTTAGTACTGGCTTAACATCCAGAAACTTGTTTTGTTATTTACACCAGAATATGACTGACATAAGAACATGATATTCTTAGCCGACGCTACATGGAATCTAGGAAATAAATAACTCAATAAATATATCATAAATGAAATAAATAATTTCCAGAAAGAACCTTCACCTTACTGGAACCGGAAGTGATTAATTAGCCTAGGCCTGCCATCAGTAAACAGCTCCAGTTATCGGCAATACTCGCATCAAATACATGGATTGTAAGCCTGCAACTCTGACATAGAACCACATTAACTGTGTTGTTTTAATAGTAAACTCAGTGTACTCATTGATTAAATACTCTCAACCAACCAAACATGACTCAATAATATCATGTGTTAAAAATATAAAAAAAATTGCTTTCTTCTGCTTGACAATCATGTTCGGATGTACAAAGTTTTATTACATATTTGATTACATATTTGATAATTACAAATTTTAGTTACATATTTGATAACATATTTAATTACACATGTGATTACATATTTGATTACATATTTCTGTAAATTTTTCAAAGGTCTAAACATGCAATTCATTTCAAAATGACTAATACGTGGTTACACAGTCTGCAGAATTTTGTCTTTGCGTTTTTTAGTTTTGTCTATGCTATAGAGCTTAAAATTGTTTTATGCATTGACGATTGTGGTTTGAATCAATGCCCTTTTGTTAAATTAAGTTTGATGTACAGAATTTATTCAGTATGGTTATGTAGAAATCTGTAAGCTTATAGACACTCTCCAATCTGTTCCTGGAACCAACTAGTACTGAGCAACGAGTCTAAAGTTTCTTGCTAAAGGAAACAATTTCTTGCCCCTTAGAAGGTTGGACCCACCTAGCTAGCTATCCTTGGATTACTTGTCTAACGTGTTAACCATTCGGCCATGTCGCAACCATCTTTGCTTAATATTCTGAATTTAATGCTTGGTTCATGTTATAGGTTTAACACTACTAACTACTAACAGTTGTCATGCAAACATCCGAACATTAACAGTAAAAGACGCATGCAATCAGACATGTAAACATATTTTTATAAGAAATCAACGTTAAGAAAAAATGTATTCATGATAAACGACATATAGTGATACTTTGCATTTTTCTTGCAAAATGTGGTTGATTATACTTTTAACTACCACATTACTAACGAGGTATAAACAAAGGTGGTGTTCGTGGATGTCAGGTATATAACGCTTGTCTAAATCTATGTTCGTAAACTGATACATTTAAACAATGCTTTAAGTTTTGAGTATTGCAAACGGCCGGTGATAGGGGGCATGGTAGATCATACACGCCCCTTTATCCCTTTATCCCCTGGTCTGGAAAACTTGCTATGTTGGTTTTGTCATGACGCGGCTCATATATTATAAACAGGATGTCTGTCTCGATCCGGAAATATTACTATTGGCACGACCAATACATTAATTTTCTTTTGTTTCCTTTTGAATGACTAAATTCCGAAGTTGCCAACGCAGTATGATCCAACGCCATATTTGTCACGTGATTTCGCATTAAAAATCAGAGTTTCTAAATCCCAATGTAATAAATGAGTAAATGATAGTCCTATGTTTTAGCCATCGACATATTTGGGTCATATAGAAAATAATGTTAAATGGCCACACGTGCTGAGGAAAATACTTTTGTTGCGTTTTTGCTTTTTTCTTGGTTTTGTGTGTTTTTCGTAATAATTGGTAACAAATTGAATTAATAACGAGTTCATATCAAAAATTGTTACATAATTTTTGTATTATTATACGTTGTATTATTATGTTACTGTGTCATTGTACGGCATACATTTATGCAAAATGTTTGAAACGGCAATCAAATGAGATATATATGACTGTTGACATGGTAACAATTTAACAAATGCCAACCCAATTAACAGGAAATATGACACATTTTTTTGCAGTATGCAAAAATACTATACTTTTTATATCTCAATTATATATATTCTATCTCAATTATATATATATATTAAGAGGATATTTTTTCGTTTGAGTGAAATATGGAATATATTTTCACGAAACATGATAAAATGCCACATATTTTCACGAGCCGGGACGGCGAGTGAAAATATGTGGCATTTTATCATGTTGAGTGAAAATATATACCATATTTCACGAAAACGAAAAAATAACCTTTTTATTTAATTTCATTATCAAAGAAAAAATGGTTACGAACCCTATTGCTTGCTACGCAACTGCAATTGTACAGCGCGCAGTAACATATTAACGCGTCTTGTTTTGCACGCGATATTTGGCGCTACATTGTGACGTCACGTAAACAACTGTTTAAACGTCTGTACAGCGTTAATAACTGAATTAAAGATATTGGTGTTCGGATTAATTTTCTTAGTTAGACAATTTTCTATCATTCTAGATAGTTTTCAAAGCAAAATTCAACAAAAGTTGTTTTGCATTTATCAGATTTTTCAAACAAATTGCCGAAAGAAGTCCCTTGAAATAAATATGAGTTTTGACTCCGCCCACTTTCATATTTATTTTTCATATTTATTTCTAAAAAATATGAAATATATTTGACTGATATAACACCATATTTCATGGGTAAAATTAAATAAATATATATATATTCATATCCAATCTTAAGTCATAGTTGTGCTTGCTGGATTGGCACTGAAGTTATAGCAAAGGCTTATCAGCGTAAAGACTAATATTTACATGCAGAGCTTAGATCTTAACTCATACGTGATCATTTTTTTTAATTGACATTGGTTTGAGCGGATTTCTATCCACCTATTTCTTGAATGTGTTTAACTATTTGACCTTTGTCAACTTGGGTGGTTCCAGTATTCCTACTTGAATAATGTATAATCACCCTCAGGAAATGGAGCCTGCTGTTTAAACTGGTCTTTTGACGTCTTATCTGTGATATGCAGGCTTCATAACCTCAGATCCCCTTTCAAAATTTCAACATTTTCAGTTTTGTCGTTTTGTGCGTTCTGTAGGGATTCTGTTTTTTATTTTTTTGTAATTATGTTTCTTCCATTATTATTGCAGTATTTCAAACACATCTTCCAGTGATAATTTGTTTAAAAATTTCAAATTCAAATTTTCGGCTTTTATTTCAGAGCCAGACAGGGGTATCAGATCAGCAGAAAAAAGACAAATATCATCTGATGACGACACTAGTGACGTCAATTCATCTCAAAAGAAGAAAAAAGCGCGAACGACTTTTACCGGAAGACAAATCTTTGAGCTCGAGAAACAGTTTGAGCAAAAGAAATATTTGTCGTCTGCGGAGAGAGCGGAAATGGCGTCACTGTTAAACGTCACTGAAACACAGGTAAACGTTTGTTTTGGTTCAAATTCTATCTTTGTTCTTTTAAAAATTTTCAGTATACAAATGTAGCTCTAAACATTTGCGAGCTTTATTATATACAATGCATCTGTCTGTTTGAACATTTCTATTATTGAAAACCAATTGCATTCACAGTAATGTATTTAACTGTAAACAATTTAGGCAAATTAAAACAATTTCTGAAATAATCTTTAAAGAAGAATCCTGTGTTAACAAATGCGTATAGTACAACTGCTGTAAAGGTAGATACATTTCTACATGCATTTTATTCCCGTTTTAATACTTAAGACGACTCAATTCAAAATTCAAGTGAAAGCATACAAAAGCGATTTTCTAAATCACAAACATATATATCCCTAAAGAATAAATATCTGCAATTCTTATTTATAAAATTGAATAAAAATGTCATCTTACGAAAGACATAACCGTATTTAAAAAACATTTGCACTGCTTTCAAATTTATACTTGAATACAATTATTACCAATGCTTTGCAGCAGTCATTTATTTACTGAATTGTATTAAAAAAGTACATAATATAAAATTAAGATGTAGTCTAACGTTAAGTCAAAAACTTTCAAGAAGTAATCAAAATCGGTAATGTATTATTTATATATGTGGATAGGGTTTAATTCGATATACAAACAAACATAGCTTATATAAGGTGCAAATAATATTGTCGGTTTTTGGTTGTTTTGAATAAGGCTGTCAGTTAAAGACTTTATGCTTAGATGGACAAAGAAAGAATTCTTTGTCTAGATGGACAAAGAAAGAAACCAACATATACGAGAAGAGTTCCAATTAAACAGTCCAATATGACGTTATTGCTCTATTTCGCATTGTCCCTTTCTTGAAAATAGCAATGATTTTTATCTACGAAAAATATGACGGTTTACTTTTTTACATCTTTGACTGTTAGTTGGTGGTATATGAGGGAACTTTGCTTACATTCAGCATAATATATTTGTGCATGTTGTTAAAACCTTCAATTCATATCGTCAAGTTAACTAAGAAAGAAATTTACACATTGCAAAAACACTTTAAAATCTACGAAAATTACCAAACATATGTCAGAATATAATACATTATAAATTGTACATATATCCCAGTGTACGATACTCCAAACAAATGTTTAAGTACATGTGCATAGGATTCTTAGTTGTATCGCTGATTATACAAATTTTACTAAGTTAACAATTACAACTTTGTTTGTACATTTTATTACTGATATGATTTTTTCTAAATGCTGCACAGTTGTTTGTTTGTTATTTTTGTTGTTGTTGTTGTTGTTTTACAACGACTCATACATTTAAAGACTTTCTTCTAAAATTAGTTCATACAATAAAGTATTGCAAAATATTAAAGGGCAGTATCCGGTAGCGACTATTTTCTACAATGGTCTATTCTAATAGTAAACACCTTGCGCCATAAAATAAGTGATTTACCAATATGTCTAGACAATAGATTGGTAATTGTTGTATTAATTAACACATTCTCTTGTTTCCCTACATTGACAGGCAATAAACGTGTAATTACTTTTGCACAATATATTCAGAACTAATGACTTCGTGTTAATACAAACATGAACCGCCCTGTGCTGACTGAACCAATCAAAGTTTGATTATTGGTATTCATCACCTACATCGGGCTAGCACTATGCGCATTTATTATTTTTAACAGAATGGCAGAGCCATTTAAACTGGGATATACCTACGACAATATAAGAGGACAACGTGGCTTATATTTTATGTGCATTAGAATAAACAAAACATAATTCCCACACATTACATTATTAGACACACTATTTAAACCTGTTTTTTTTTCTTTTTAGAATTTAATACTTACTTTTTAAGATCGTATACCATCCTGGCTTGTATATACTATTATTACTATTTTTCCCCTTGTTATACATTGCTTGCCATATATTATATTGTAGAATATCATCCTGAATTGTGCATGCTTTTATCATTTTAGTTAACTTTTATATAAACATATATTAGAGTGGAAATGGACATAAGGACATACTCTTCTCAAGTTCGGCTAACTTTAGAATTGTTCTCATAGCAAAAGTGTTCTCACTTCATGGCGGGAACTGTTAATGTCTCAATTATTAATTATAAAGATTTGATATCGTGGAAGTATAAAGTATTTCAAAAGCTGGGGAGGTACTTCTTACATAAACATTTTTTTTTTTACAAAATATGCTTTAAACTAAATATGAATATTCCCAATGATTATAAAGCAATCTATTTATAGTATGTATTGTAGTTTCTCCGACTTTTATCATTAAGCTGGTAACATGTAATGTATTGGTCATAATGACTTTACGTTAATAGTATAAATATAAACCGTTCGTAAACAGCTAAATCGAACCAAGCCTGAAACAACTGTGTTGTTTTGTTCGACATAATGATTCTTTAAAGACTTGTTTCTATTTTACTTCGGATGCAAATGTTTTACTCTCCGTAATTAGTTAAGATACCACAATAAATATAATTGTATTATTATTTATATGATGATATAATAAGAAACAACCAAGAATAGGAACAATATACGTTCTATGCTGTGGGTAAAGTGTTTGCATTTAGCACACGCATGTACTGAAAACATGCCTATCATATAGGAAGGTATTTGTTTATTCAATTAGGCTAATAGCATCAGAGCATGGTACAACAGTAATAAGATACATGTATGTAAATGTTCACAGTCATTTGAAAACTTTGAAAAAGTTCGAATAAACAGTAACATGCTTTTTAAAGGGAGACACATGCACATTTTTTTATTTCTTCGTTTTGAATTTTTCATTCATTATTCTGTATATGTCCATAAAATGAGTACACATGGCAGGCACAGGAACAAAACTTTTCTCCTTATTAAGAATAAAATGGCGGTTTCCTAGCTTGACCCACGCGGGTCATGTTAGAGCGTTAAGATTTCACAATAGTTGTCACAGTGAACTCTGGAAATGTTAAAGAACATGTCAAATAATTGGCTTTGACTTGTTTTAATCATATGATATCCACAATATCTGTTATTGTAACTTCAAGCCACATAATTTGTTTTAAAACTACTCGATGATTCTGCCAGCGTCTAAATTTCTTGCAACATATATAGATATATTAACGCTTCATACTCAAAATACATCAATAAATAAGTTTGATTATTATCAGGGATATCATATTGTGTTGGTTAAAAGAAAGCATCAGTTATCATTTGTTTGTTTAAATAGTGCGTGAACATGTAGTTCATAGATAAAAGTCATTTTTTTTTCATTTGTTAAACTTCAGAAAAAGGAAATAAAACGTACCTATATTAAAAATTGAATACCGACAATAAATAATTTGCTGTAAATTTCCAACTTATCATCTCTTAGATTCCTCGTAGAGTTCTTCTTTACTTTAAAGAAGCTATTACACGTCCCGTGGGGTAATTATTTCGTATCAAATTATAGTAGATAACGGGGAAAACTGCCTAATATTCTATCATAATAGTCTTTGAACGGATATTTTATCCAATTAAATAGATCTAAGTGTTCCCAAGGGCTCACTTAACAGTTACAGCGAAGATTTTGTTTACTTTATGAAGCGATTAGTGGACTGGGTACCATTCAATACGAGTCGCTGATTCAAATGGCGAAGTATCATGAGATTTTAAAGGGAATAGTCTTGCTTTAATTGTATATAAGTTCATAATTATTCCCGTGAGAGCTTTACTGTTATATTATGATACCGCGATGTTTCCGCGTTTCTTAAGACAGTACTCACATTATACGAGTGCAATACAGTTGTGTTGCATTGATGTATTTTATAAAGGTGCATAATGTAAAAAGGCGAGGGAGTAAATAATACGAAGGCAGAAGTAGTTTTCAAGAATCGGAGGAAAATAGAACATGTGTAAAAGAATAGAGTTAAACAAAAATAACCCCGCATAAACTCGTGCACAATAGATACTCAAATGTACGCGAATGTAATTCCTTTTGCCGTTTTGTGTATGCCATTTTAGGTCTTTTTTATAAAAAAAAACTATACAGTGTATATGATTTCTCTCTTTAATAATATATCATTTCAAATTGTCATCGCTCAAACCGGTGCTAGGGGCGTGAGAGATGTTGCACTTTTTCTTTTTCCCTCATGTACAGACTCAGTGAAACAGAGTCTGCAATTTTCATGTAATTTTATTGTTTTTAATGCTTCCGATGGATCACTTTTTCCAGATATTTATCCACAATTTGTTATTTGTACCTTAGGAGTAATAAAATTTTCCCCACTTTGTACATTTCAGGTAAAGATTTGGTTTCAAAATAGACGCACAAAATGGAAGAAACATGAAAACATAACAGCAACAGAAATCCCTGAGCATAAACTTCAGGCTGCTAAAAATCCTGATGTTGCGAAGGCAATACAGAATGCCGCTAAACTAAGGAAAGCCAAAGAAAGACTAGAACTTTCCAATTCAAATACAAACAAGAAAGACTCCTTAAATCAGCCTTTAGATTTTTCAATGGAAAGCCTAGGCAAAACAAAGAATACACATGACGATTTTACGGAACGTATTCGTGAGCAAGAAAATTATGAACGAGAAGACGGGAGCATAAAATCTGAAGAAAATGAAGAGGCAGAAAAAGACGACGGAGCGGAAGACGAATGTATTGAAAATGATATTGTTAATGACGAAAGCAATCACGTGACTGGTGCCAGTGACAGAATTTCAGATATTCAAATAGAGGACACAGGAAGACCAACTTCACAATCTTATGAAAATATCGAAGACATTAACAATGATAAAAATGATGACGATATTAGTGAAACAAACAATGACTCCGTAAAACTGACTGATTATAAAGAACAATACCCAGACTCTACGGTCATCTCGTGACATTTAGTTGTTAACTTATTATCTGTTGTCCTTTTGAGATGTTAATTTATTCTATAGACTCCGTACCAAGTAAGTAAGTTTGAATTAATCGGAAACGAAACGTGACATTCGTAAATAGAGCTAGTTCTCATATTATACACGATTTAAAAATGAGTAGCACAATCGTACAAACAAACAAAAATGACAGTTTGTAAGGAATAAAACTGGAATAATTGTTTTAATGATTTATCAAACTGTACAGACCCGGAGGTACTATCATTTTGCGCATGTGCAGCAGCATTAAACGAGGCCAATGCATTAAATGAAGGCATAAATCTCATCAAGATGATGCATTTAGTCAAAATGATTTATTTTATTTATATGTTGTACCAACAATTTTTAGGATGCAAGTCATATTTTATTCAAAAGTGCATGGACTCGTATAACAATGCGGCACTATTTTGAAAAAATAAAGGAAATAATTGTGTTGTGTGGTTTAATATGTGTTTCTCAACTCGCATAAGTGTGAATATCTTAATGCAGGGCTATTTATGACGTTGTTTACAGTAATGTTCTTGTTGTTTATAGCTTATGTTTTTACTGAAACAATCAGGAAATATGATTAGGCGATCTTGATTTTATTTTGCTTTATGTTTACATTTTATTATATTATATTACACAAAATTGGTAATCATCAAAAATGATAGTTTGCATATGAACAAAAATAAATCTATATTAACAGCTTAACTAACGACAATAATTAAACAAAACAATAATTATTAAATATTGTTATTTTGGGGTTTCTTTTGTAAATAAAAATCGTGATTTTAAATTCCTCTTTAAAGCAATATCTTAAAAAGAAATAATATTTTATCGTTGTGTTTTTTTGTTGTTTTTTTTTGTCAATTTTATTGATAGTTTTTTTAATCCGAAAAATCCGAGCATATCTATCAAATACGGAAATGTTTTGAAATCTAGATTTTGATCCTGGTCGTGTTGCTGGCCCTGTGAGCATATAGGGCATGTTGTTTAATATGTGTGGTTACAACATGATTACTTTGAGGTAGTATAATGTATTATTAATATTACAGTGTGTATAGCTGATCTTAATATTTGTTTTTGACTATTTGTTTCTGTACTCTGTTGATAAATTAATTTATTATAGTAAAACTTGATATAAATATATGAAAAGTAATTTTTATGGTGTAGTTACCTCCCATATAAATGTTCCTTAAACCCTGGAGCTTCGGTACTCAGTATTCTCGTATTATAATAACGCAATTGAATTTCTCGAATTTTGATTGGCTAAAATACTTTGTATACGATGACGTTAGGGTTAGGGTTAGGGCTAGGAACGGAAACGTCCATAAATTAATCACAATTTCTATATCGTAGACGATTACCTACATGTGTTAACTACATGTGTTACCTACATGTGTGCATTAAATTTATCTTTATGGTTTATTTTAAAATGTCATTCTAAAAATAATATTCTTTAACAAAATAAAATAAGTAAAATTTACTTTACTTTTTGAATTACTTTTTATTGCCCAGCGGTCATGTAGCCGTCGAACGGCTGACGTTATTTTATTTGCAAATGCCTTTTTATATGAACTTGTCGTCAGTAACACTTTGCGTATTATAAATTCGTTATACAAGTTGCAGACTGGATATTTTAAATTCGTTATATATGTTGCAGACTGGATATACGTGAGAATACAACCTTGCTGACACAACAAAAGCCTCGGCTAACGCCTTGAGTCATATTCATCTTTTTCAGCCTATATTCTCCCGTATATCTCGCCAGCAACTTGTACTACTAATATAACATATTTGTTTTTGATCGGGCGATGGCTGCTGCAGGTCATTGCGACACACAAAACAAGTTTTCTGGTGATACCGTGCTTGACAGATACATATGAGCGCCTTACCTTATTAATACCAGTCTAAGTTTATTACTCAAGATCGCTATTTCTTTTTATATCAGGACCGTTCGTAACTAAACAGGCATGGATTTAAAGACAAATGGTAGTCCTTTTAATAGCCGAGTAGAGATGGCTTAACGGTCACCCTTTCAGCATTTCAAACTCGTGAGTTCGATCGTCTTTATAAACAAAAGATTCCAGGCTTACAGAGTGGTTTCAACAAGTCTGCAACTTTCTTCAAACCAAGCTTAGAAACACAAACACCTCCTTAATATTGCGATATCTCTCGAAGTTTTGCTGAATTTATCAGCATTAATTAGTACAAATAACAAAAGAAAATCAAAACCATATAAAACTCAAGATACTTGTCGATAAAATGCCGAGCTTTGCTGATTTAAAATTTGTATTACATTATTTGACCAATTCCTCCAACACAGCCAATTATGAAAGTTGGCAAAAATAAAAAACGCAACTTCTGGGCAAGTATACAAGATATGTTACTAATGACTGGCGGGAAAGAGCTAATTGTGCGATAATTGTCTGCTATTAAGTTTTATTAACGCACCACTTTGAAATAGATAAGCAAATCACATGTTTTGTTAGGATATATGACCTGTTTTGAAATAATAAGAATGCGTTCTTGAACACTCATCTATTTCAATCAAATACACACGAAAAGTACAGTTCGTTTGAAAATGTATACATGAATGAATTTACTGAATATATTTCAAACCGGTATTACAAATGCCAATTAATTTTTAGTAGAATTTATTAATGATTATTTAACACATTTCTTTTGCGCGCATGCTTCACAAACATGTTTCTCTTTTTTTCCGGATGCTCCTGGCGTGACCCACGTTTCAACATGTCTTTAAACGACTTTGTTTCAATCATAAATCAATATCAAACCAATTATGTAATCTTTATTCCAATAATTGTCAACTTTTTAAATGAACAGGCAACCGCAAGCCACATTGTGTACATGCATATTGAAATTCTGTTCTCGACGTCCGTTCAACTTGATTCATACCGAAATTATTCTTTTACAAAACAAGAAGACTGTTTTAACCGAGTCATATCATAGTCGCATAATGCGGTCATAAACTGCTCATTTAAAGGCTCATTTACAGATCTGATAACTATCTTTAGTGCCAAACACGATTGACGAGTCGTGTAAATTTCCCCTTTCATGTCTTAATTGCTATTTTGAATAGAAACTAGCAGAAAACGCAACAGATAATGGTCTTTTGATTCCATCTCATGAAAAACTATATCATTTCGGTAATGGTTTTTGACGATTCATAACTCCATAAAAACTAAATATGCACGATCGACGCACGCCATTTTATTCCACACGAAAATATCATGCTATCTTTTGACTATTGCTATTCACTAGAACACATAAAATTTATTGTTATTTTTTATCTGATCCAATTTATATGACTATGCGCACTTAATATGTAGGCGATGTTTTTGTTGGCATATATATATGACAAAGGGTTAAAAAAACACTTTTGCTAAATTATCTTAAAAACACTTGATAATACAAAGTTGATAGCACTGTAGCGGTTTTATGACCTAACTTTATTTATTATAAAAGCTCTCGTAAAGAGCGTTGACACGATTGGTAATAAAATCGGCGATTTATTTTACGTTGCTTTCCATATACTAGTAGTTCATTATGCAGAACGGCTCGTGAATAAAATTGTTCAAATCCGTTCGTTTACACATTATGGATCTGGAATTTGGGCATGCATCTCTTATTATCAGTATGTTTGCTATAGTGGAATATAAATAATTGCAGTGTAAACTGGTTAAAGTCACTGACTCCGGATCACGTGTCCCTTACCGCTGTAGGTTCGACACAACACAAATGTTTGTGAGGTAAAGTGATGAAAATCACGGATATCATCCACGTATACTGTGCTCCTCTTAGTTCACGGTACTTAACGCTTTGAAGCAAGAAAGAAAATAACACATAAAACTTATGGTACAAAAATTGTCATAAGCTGTAACATATAGGTATTTTCTGATGTATGACACAAGGAAACAACAATATATTTAGTCAAAATCAGTTTAAATGAGCCAGACGTAGACCATATGACGGCCATTTTGAAAACACTATGTCATAATTTAATCGCGGTAATTGTGTTTTATTTCAGCTTTTTCATGTTTCAGTTAAAATTTCTACACGTTATTTTGCATAATTTTATATATTAAAAGTATCTTTACACAATATATTTTTTCAACAAACAAGAACATTTGGAAAATGATGATTGTTTCAGACGTATGCACAAATTTAACGGACTATTGTTGCTTTTTGCAGAAGTTTGTATAATGTTGTTCTGTTTTACGTAAAAATCTATAGATTAAAAATATGTTGCACAAAAACTTTGTTGTTTAGGTGTTTGAATAAAATATGTCAATTCTGACCAATTTTAACGCTGGTCACGTGAAAATATGCCATTACCGTGAAATAAGTGATGACGCGGAATTAGTGATGTTGAGTATATAACCACTGTAGAGCGGACCTCTATATATAGGACAGTTGACTCTTTACAAAACAAGTATCAATTCTTTCAAAAGTATGACTTCATAATAATTCAAACCTCTGTAGAGCAACACCTCTCAACAACGACCAAAATAATTGTTTCTAAAAGGAGGATGCTCATGTTGTACTTTATTTGATAAAAACTGCATGAATTCCATAATCTTTGTTGCACATTATATCATAAATAATTTTAGCCACTTATTGGTATATTGATACAAATCATCTTTTTATTTCTTTAATATAAAAATTGTAAAGCCGTAAAACAGCTTCAAGGAAAGTCACTGCGCATGCGTGCATCAGAACAAATGCATTTGTTTTACAAATCGTACATTATAAATGTTCGGACAGTATAATTTTTCTTTTATTAATACATGTAACAACCGGGCAAAACAAACCAACCAACCAACCAGCCAGTCTGTCAGCCAGCCAGGAAGCAAACCATCCAGCCACTCAACTAACTAACCAACCGATTGATCGATGCATCAATAAATTATGTCAACCAATCAATAAAATCTAATCGAGGATTAAATTATGAATTTTTACAATACAGATTCAATAATACTTAGAAGACAGATATATCTATTTATCGCCAAGGTAAGTGATTAAAATGATGTAACCTAGAACGTTACAATTATGTGTGGTTCTCAGTAAAAGTGTTAAATATAAAGCGACGCGACATTTATCATATTTTCATAACAACTATGACCATTCTTATACATGAATAAGTCATGGGATTTCATGCCCCGCGTAGTGAGTAACGGTACCGGTTGTGCAAATATAGTTTAGGCACACGTCTGACAACAAATGGCTCTTCCCAATTTTTATAAGATTAAGCCACCTTGTGATGTCGTTTAGATAATTCCCATGATAAAGATTTTAAATGTCCTGAAGCAATTGAAAATAATATCAAAATAAATGTGCATATTCTGAGATGAGAATTGCTGTGCACTTTTCATCGTCTCTTGAAAAGAAAACGGTTAAATTGCATTTCTATGTGCTAATTTTGTTTCCATTGCGCAGAATTTGTTAAAATGTTTAAAAGTTAATGAATTATTCCGAAATTAAATCAATCAAATTGCAAAAAATTGTGTCTCTTTTCAACATTCATAAATTCCTGAGTGTCCGAAAATACCGTAACAACACGCTTTATTTAATTGTCTACGAGTATTTGTTCCTTATTTCTTGAATTAAATTTACCCGCTGTGTCCCTGATAAGATACCGAGAGAGAAAATTCTTAAAGCTCTTTAATTACTGTTTACTACAAAGATAAAATATTAAACCTTCAGCAACGTCTTTTTGTCAAATTCATATCCTCTATCAGGCAATGTTCTCCTGATGATTGTGATAACAACACGGCACAATAATTCCTAGCAATTCATCAATTCATTAGAATAGCCATTAAAGGAGACATATTATTGTAACTATCATTTTGCGTGACATATCATTCCTTAGATCGATGCTAAACGTTTTCTTCGCGGCACATTGAATCTTTCCTGGATAATTAAGACTTGTTAAACGTCGACAAATGCAAGTTTCTCTGCAATAAAGCCGAGTGATTTATCGTGTTAGAGATGCTGTAAATGCGAGAAGCTTCCTCCGTCTTGCTTTTAGAATTAGCTAGAATTGCCTTCTATTGACTTAATTATATTATTACTACTTTAACTGCGTACTTGTTCGTGTTACCATCTTTTTATCACATCGTTGAAATATCGGGACAAGTGCTTAAAAAACAAAGAAGATAGAAAAACCTGTATTTTTTGTAAATAAATCAAATTGAATCTAAATACACGTGGGATTATTTAGAGGAAACGTGTTTCAGATGTTAGAAGCTTTTTATGAAAAGAAATATAAATAAGGATTGTTTTAAATACATTTCAGAACATCCTACAAAATATTATACATCATTGGCTATAAACTTGAGGGGAGCGGTGGCCTAGTGGTTAAAGTGCCTGCCTCTTAACACTATGGTGGCTGATTTGGTATGCTTTTGTGCGTCTAGTTGGCGCTAGTGCCCAATGGCGCGTTGTCGGACATTCGTCTTGTAGTCCTGTCGCATAAGACAACACGACAAAGCGTAAAACGGCGCGCTCTCGTCTTGTCTCTAGCGCGGCACGCCAAACGGCGCGTTTTCGTGCAGCGTGTTGTCGCGATGTCGCCCTGTCGCTTGGCTTATAAGCCAATCCTTCAATTTGAACCGAGCGACAATGTGACATCGCGACAACACGCCGCACGACAACGCGCCGTTTAGCGTGCCGCGCTAGAGACATGAGGACAAGACGACAGCGCGACAAAGCGCCGTTTGGCGCTTTGTCGTGCTGTCGCTAGCGCCAACGCGACGCACAAAAGCGTACCAAACCATCCACCATACAACACAGGTAATATCGGTCCGCGCACCATGATTCTTCATATGACACCAGTACTGGTTAGTTCCAGTAAGAGGACCCGAAAATTGTTTATATAAGTTGCAATAATTTGTTCAGGGGAGACACAGGCAAAATTTTCATATTTTCGAATTGAATTTTTTTTTCAATATTCTATAAAATGTCCTCGAAATGAATACACTAAGCAATCACATGAACAAAACTACTTTTCTCCTTCTAATGAATAAAATGGTGGTTTCCCAACATGACAGGTTAAAGCATTTAGATTTCACAATAGCTATTATAGAGAACTATGACAACGTTAAGGTACCTGTCAAAACGACTAAGACTTATTTCAATGTAATAATATCCACAATTTCTGTTATTATTATTTCCAAGATTTTTTTTCTAGTGACATGACTTGTTTTAAAACTACTCGGTGACTATCGGCGTCTTAATTTTGTTCAGCATATAAAGAAATTATACATTCAAGCCCAAAATATGTAGTATTTATACCAAAATTCATGCTAAGACTTTTGAAAATTCCATTTTAGTGCGATTTGAGTAAATAAGATCAATTCAATATTTCTGTCATCCATTTGCTCAAGTCTCCCTTTCAATAGATATGTTAAAACTAACTTAGCCTGTTGGCGGCAACTTAATTTACTCACGCCACCAATATCAGCTGTCTGATCATGGTCTGCACTGTTCACTATTCAGTCAGTACATATTTTGAAATGTTCTTTAAAAATTATAAATGGTTTTATTCAAGTTAAATAATGGACAAGTTCATTTTTTGATAGGGTTAAAGCTTATAGTAGTGTTTCGTTATAAAGAACTTGTAGCATCTAAACAATCTATGCCGTCACAATTTGACATGCGTCATCGTGTCGTAATTGGCATTTTCTAATGCAGTTAATACTTTCTGATTGACATACTTCGAACAAAGTTAGTCTTGGGTCACATGGCTTAAATCTAGTTATCTATTGATCATTAATTTCGATTACAAAAACATTTATATGTCGGGTCTAATCTTAAATATCGGTGTCATGATTTCTTTATCCGTGATTTTTTTTTAATTGCAGAAATCTGTATAATGAACAAGTATGTCAACTTTGACATGTTTCAACGTAATGGCAGCATTTTCTAATGCATTTAAAGTCTGTTGATAGACTTATTTTTTTTGAAAGATTTTATAAATATGGATCTATTTGTCTTACCTCTTCAACACATAAAACACGCCTATCTTAATATTTGTTGCCAGAATGAGTAGTTATAAACATGAAGTCAATAAAGCAGCGGTTCTTTGAAAGTCATTTTATAAGTTCTATTTGATACTTGCAGCTTCCAGGAATCAGTATTCGGGTTTATAACAGTTACTCAGCTTTATTGCAATATAAATGGAATTTGTACATACATGTATTAATTTAGCACCATTGCTGTCCGACTTTTCTTGCTTGATTTTACTTTTCTTTAAATTCTTACAGGGATCAAACGTACATAAATGTACATGTATATTAATAATTATTATGTAAACAGTGTTATACAAGATGGAAATTTTCCCATAAAAATATTGGTGTATGTTGTTTTCGCTTTCTTTTATTCACAGGGTCTTTAAAATTCTGTTTGAATGACCCTGGTTTATCTAATAATGTCCCAGGCTCCCTTTTTGCTTATTTGTATTATCGATGTGAACATTAAGCGTCTTTGAAAAAGTTCATATAATTTCCGGAAAGAAGATACTTTTACAAAATATAGGGTGGCGCGATAGTTCAGTTTGTTTGACCACTGGCTATCACTCCTGAGGTTCCGGGTTCGATCCTGGGTAACACATTGGAATTTTTCAGAGACACTTTCAGTGTTTCCCACCTACCTAGAGGTTTACTGGTGAGAAATCCAGGTAATCCTCGCATGTATCAGTGCTATACATTGGGCATGTAAAAAACCAATGGGTCTATTCAATAAGAGCAAGTTGATATATGTGACAATATTGTATGTGTTTATGTATATTCCCTGAATGAATCGATACGAATAGCTAGGGACTGGTTCCCGAATTCCCTTGTATCTTATAGCTGTCTCACAATTAAATACAATGTATATTTGCTTAGTGTAATCGTGAACGATTTTGAAGCAGTATGATGTAGATAAATGTTTAGGAAATAATATCAGTCTCAGCGGTGTTAAATCGGCTATTTAATTAAGACAGGTTGCGTAGGAATTGATTTTTTTCGAATCAAAACGACAATTTCATTATTTTCAATAATTTAGTCTTCAAAAACATTTTGATGAAGTTACGGTGTAAGTCCCTAACCAATTCAGTGTTCTGCAGGGTCCACTATGATAAGTATACAAGTAACTCAACTAAAGGAAGATCAAGGATGGAAATTATTTAATGGTATTCTACCTTACACTAGTAAAGAATTTAGTGGCGTTCAAACATTAAATATCGTACTCAATAGAAAAAAAAACAGGAAAAAGACAGAAAAAAACAAATATCTGAAAAGGTATAAAATTTATCATGTTTATGTTCTTGTAGAGGAAATAAGGTTTATTTCGTTTAAGCAGAATCATAAGTTCATTCATATTTATTTTATATTATTCGGTGTGAGAAGCCGATAAATAGGCAATTTAATACTCTATTCGTCCTCACTATATTTCGTACGTAAAATATTCGAGACTTATTGAAATGTAATAAGTGTACAAGCTAACAGTCTCAGTCAAGAATAATTAATAACTTTTAATGTCCTATTAAAATATTATGAATTGATGGAAAAAATCTACTCATATAATTTATATTATCATAATCTATAGGGGCCTATTTAATTTTATCGTTGTAGGTTAACCATTTTATTTAAGAATTAATTCTTGTATCTATCTAAAGTATGGATGTCACAGTAAGAAAAAATGCAAACCATTTCAACAGCGACCTAATAACCGTGTTAGACTTGGAACCAACCTTACTAAATAAGATCCTTAGATTTTTAACATTAAGTGATTTAATAACTTTGTTTCTTCATAACACAATATGACATTTAAATTGTTTGTGTTTTGTTGTACTCAAGATGATTACAAAATATGGCCGAATATGCAGTAATTATTTTTTGTTAGGGTGGTACTGTACAGGATCAGATCTGGAAAATACTTTGTTGAGTAGAGAATGGTCAATATATGTATTTAATATCGTGATATTCAGTGACAGCCCTGACTCACAGACATTTAGGGTGTAAAGCTCAAAAGGCCTTTAAAATCCAAATAAAATGTATGTTTTTCAATCCCAGCACATGCCCTTATCATCATTAAAACTTAATATAAGCTGTTTTGAAAAAAAATCGTATTTCACCGTCTATAAAATGATCCAGGCCCCCAAGTGTCTGTGCCCTGACTGTAATATAATTGAAATAATATTTTGAATGTCACATGTACAAATGTATATTATGATATTGGAACTTTTGAAAAAGCTATTTCATGTAAGTGAAACTTTAAAAAGCTTTCAAATTTTTATAACAATTGGATTATTCTATTTCTCATATTTTCAGGCTACAGATAAAGGGAGACAACCTATAAGAAATATAGAATGTACTCATTGGAGCAGCTGTTTAGTGTACACAAGAACTGCAAGAATTCAGCATGATTAATGTTAACTCAAACTTATTAAATATGAAGTGTTTTGAAAGTGCACCAAACATATATAATTAAAAAGGCTCATTTTTTTCCTGTTATTATTAAAGATCTGAACATTCTGTTTAGGCTGGACCAGAATAATTAGTGAATTATGTTGATAGACTTTTGCCATCACAGTGTAAAGTCCAAGATAAAGGCAGACAAGGTGTCTTTTGATGGGTACGAGGTACAAAACCTTGTATCTAGTAACCTTGAGAATAAGAGAAAGGGCTTCTTGTCAGACCATTTTATAAAACCACCAGTTAATGTAACAGTACAGTTCCCATGTAATGTGTGTATTTATAGAATTGTTATAGATCCTGTGATTGGTCAACAAAAGTCATGTGATTTGAAAATTTTCACAGCCGCAGAAAAAATGACTGATTCCTGGCTGTACAGTACAAATAGTGATAAAACAGTGAAAACAGATGGGGTCATTTTTAATTATGTAGGAAGTTCTACACAGACAGATCCTAGTGTGATTTGCTTTGTAAATAACCAGTTTAAAGAAAGAAGTTCATGGAGAATTGAAAACATTCCAGATGTAAAATCTTACCCTTGCGTTTTACAGTTGAATGCCAGAAAGCCAGGTGGACTATACAGTGCGAGCCATGTGACAGTTTGCTTAAGTCGAAGCATAGGTGGAAAATCTGCTGCCTTAAGAAGGCTTGAGATATGGGGAATTCCAGCATTAAAAGTCCCTGTTCCTGTGCAACATACATTAAGAAATGCTTACATTGAAGTGACAGATCCAAAAGAAATCAAGGGCAAAATTGCACCTCACAAAATTGCAAAGTCTTCAGAATTGAGTAATAGTGCCAGTGCTGATAAAACGTCTTGTGAAACTAATAAAATATCAATTGATGGAGTTTCAATACCGGATGATTTTATTGATCAAATTACATTTGATCTTATGACAGTTCCGGTACTTTTACCATGTGGAAAAAACATTGACCAATCAACTCTGGACCGTTTTGTAAACACTGAGGCATCCTGGGGAAGACTGCCAAGTGATCCATTCACAGCGGTTATCTTCTCTCCATCGTCAGGGCCGATAACTAATACATCACTCAAGGCTAGAATAGATAGTTTTGTGTTAAAACACTCAAACTCATTAAAAGTACCGCAGACATTAGGGCGGTCAGATATTCATAAGATGCACAAAAGCCAAATAGTTTCAAGTAAATTGGTAACCGAACATTTCTCTGATAAATCAACATGTAGGTACTCTGTGCCTGAAATTCCTAGAAGTAAACCCCACAATTTTCCAAATGTAAACAGTACTTTCACAAACAAATCTACATCATCGCAACAATCAAATACTATTGAAATTCATCCAATACTACCTCTGAGAAATGATACATATCTAAATTTAGAAACACCTAGGTCTTCATCTCTTAAAAGGAAGCATTCTGATGTAACATTGTTAAAATCACAACCAAATAAAAATGTTGATGCTACAAAAGACCATGTGTGTATAGATTTAACTAGAGTTACAAATTTTGATGAGACAATTAAAACAACGAAAAAACAAAAGTTGCTTAGTAACAGCCATGATAATGATCTTTCACAAAGTCTCGACAATGCTTTATTATCTACTCTTGGAAATCTGCCATCATTTACAAAGAAAAATCCAAAACAAGCAACTGTTGATCCAAAAATTCAAGAAACTCAGTGTTCTAAATGTAAATCAAATCTTACAAAATCTGACGTCATAAAATACAAGCTTGTGTGCGGTCATTTGATATGTAGGTTGTGTCTTGTTCAGGAATCAACTTCTTTTGTGTGTAATGTTTGTCAGACCAAGTGCCAGTCAAGCCAGGCAGTCAGAATGTTTTAAGGTGTTTTTTTTTCATTTAAAATGAAAACAATACATAGATATTTTTAAATTGTTATACATTTATATTGTATATTAAGTGCTTATTTTGGCAGGGGTATAATTTTGTTTATATTGTTGGTAAGGATAATTGTGCCAATTTAAAACACCACTTATTTTATACGCTACCATTATAAAGATTTAGGTTTTGTTTCAAAAGGTAGACAACTTATGGCATACTTATTAATTATACAATAACATTATTCTTGTTACGGTTATGTCCCTTGATTTCTATATGTTCAAAAATTTTGGAAAAAATACATGCATTTCTTTAACAAACTTTAATCTATAAACAAGAAACATATACATATTGAATTACAGAATACATGTTTTTTATTGTTATAGATATTGTTATATATAATAAGTACGTGAAACAACTGAAAATTCTATTTAAGTTTGAATTTTTCCATGTTAAAGAATTTAATCTATTTTAATAAAACACTTAATCTTAGTGTCTAACATACTGCATAGTGCCATCCTTTACAGTAAAGGAAAACATGCTTGTCTTTATTTCTTTAACTATTCTAAAGTTACATATTCTAATGAAGGGGTAGTAAAAATGATTCTGGAAACTACCAAACTCCTCACAGTGATTACTTCCCTTGGCAGAATTGTTATCTCTGTACTGATAAGGGGAGATTACTGCATAGGAGATTGGGAAACTACAGGTGAACCCTTATTATCTCACTTAAATATATAATAGTCACAGATTGATATTTCATAAAATATAAATCTGTGGTTTAACATAGGGTTATTTTAACCTGCTGCTTTTGTTTAATTAAATTGTCTAGCTTTGAATCTAGAATATTACATTGAATATTTATGGGATTTCAATATCAAAATACAAAAAGTAAGCCAGCACACAGTATAGTCTGGTTAGACTGCATAGAAGTGCAGGATGACCTGGCACCATACAGGTCACTTTCTGTACCAGTATGTTAAAGCTGCATGCTGACAGATGAGCCAAAATATTCTTGAGAAAAAATGTACTAAATGTAAGATAAGTAAAAAAAATATAAGATTCAAGTAAGAATTTACATGTTATGGATGATTAATTAAAGTCTTATTTTGCTGTATTTATCACCGAATTTCTGCTGCGTTAGTAATATACTAGTAATTTACATACTATTTTTGCTTATTTTGACCTCATTTTGGTAATTTAAGGGGATTTTCAAGCGCTGTATGATGTGTAAACTATTATGCTAGTTGGTGCTAGCTGGAACTCAAAAACTACTGAAGGGAATGGGTTGAAACTTCACACATATTTTAAAGTACATGTATAATAGAGCAGATTAAAGAAATATCATTGTAACATGTTACTTAATTTTACTGATATGGAGGCATGCCACTTTAATGACTAAAGAAAACATTCGTTTACCAAGATCTGATAGAGTACTTTGAATGCATGTGGCAATAAAACAGTCCTATGCTGACAAAATAGAGGCAAGCTAGCCCTGCACATTCATGCAGTCTGACTAATTTTCTGTTATCACTTAGTAAAGTCGTTTATTCAGTGCCAGTATGTGAGACCATTCATGTTTTTTCATAATGGTGGATGTATAGCATTGTTACATGGGTTTATAATGCTCCCCGAAAAATAAAAATATGCTCCGTCTGTCCGTCCGTCCATCTGTCCGTTGTCTTGTCCGGAGCATAACTTGAAAACCCTTGGAGATAATTTGTTTAAACTTCATACAGTGGTAGACGGCATTAAGGGGGAGTGCAGTGTCAAAGAACCATAACTCTATTTTGCCCGGTTTTTGAATTATCTCCCCTTATAGAAAAATCTTAAACTATAAGAGATATCAACATGAAACTTTGTAGGTGAATAGATCTCAATGGGTAGATGTGCAGTGCAAAAGAACCATAACTCTATTTTGCCCGGTTTTTGAATTATCTCCCCTTTTAGAAAAATCTTGTCCGGGACATAACTCTAAAAATATAAGAGATATCAGCATGAAACTTTGTAAGTAAATAGAGCTCAATGGGTAGATGTGCAGTGCACAAGAACCATAACTCTCTTTTGCCTTACTTTGGAGTTATTGCCCTTTGTTAATTTTAACACTTTGAACTTTGTCCGGAACATAACTCTAAAACTATAAGAGATATCAAGATGAAATATTGTAGGTAGATAGATCTCATTGAGTAGAAGTGCAGTGCAAAAGAACCATAACTCTGTTAAGCCTCATTTTTGAATTATCTCCCCTTTTAAAAATTTTTATCCAGGACATAGCTGTAAAACTATAAGAGATATCAACATGAAACTTTGTAGGTAGATATATCTCAATGGGTAGATGTGCAGTGCATAAGAATCATAACTCTGCCTTGCTTAATTTTAGAGTTATTGTTCTTTGTTCATTTTTACTTTTTGAACTTTGTCTGGGACATTACTCTAAAATTTTAAGAGATATCAACATGAAACTTTGGTGGTAGATAGATCTCATTGAGTAAAAGTGCAGTACAAAAAAACCATAACTCTGTTTTGCCCAATTTTGAATTATCTCCCCTTTTAAAAAAATCTTGTCTGGGAAATAACTCTAAAACTACAAGAGATATCAACATGAAACTTTGTAGGTAGATGGATCTCAATGGGTAGATGTGCAGTGCACAAGAACTTGAACTCTGTCTTTGCAAATCTTGTAGTTATTGCCCTTTGTTCATTTTTACATTTTGAACTTTGTCAGGGACATTACTCGGAAACCATAAGATGTATCAACAAGAAACTTTGTAGGTTGGCAGATCTCGTTGATTAGAAGTACAGTGCAAAGAACAGAAACTCTGCCTTGCCTAATCTTGGAATTATAGCACTTTGAACTTTTTCCAGGGACATAACCCTGAAAGTACAAGAGGTGTACTTCCTGTGTCCAAAACCTATTCGGGGAGCATCACCCGGCTCAAACCAGGCTCTTGTTATTACAGCCTTGCCATGCTTACATGCACATAATATTATGCTATAATACTATATGACTGTTTAGCTGTTAGTTTTATAGCATACATTACATTATACTTGTATATGAAATATTGCTTTAATTTTGTTACTGTTTCTTGTCCCAAATAGACTTGATATAAACATTGTATATTACATGTAGTAAATTTTTCGTTTCATGAAATAATTGAAATGCTAAAAATTATTATTCTGCAATTTTTAGGCAGGTTTTATCCATTGAGCAATGATTTGATGCATGCCCTAATTGTCTTTAAGGCAAATTATCATATTTATTTCATACAAGCATTTTCTGGTATTCTTTTTTAAATTTAAATATTTTTGTAGCAGATATATAAAAAAAAATAATAAGTTTTATAATCAAAGTAAAATTCTGAACGCATGATGGAGAATCTGATAGTGTTTTGCTATTCTTTTCACTAGTATTTTTACCTGTTATTTGATACAGTAACATAATTTTTCTAAGGAAAGTTAGTGGCTTGTACCAGGTTTCTCCACTTGACAACAGTATTACTCATTGGCACAATTTTTAAGTTTTCATAAATCTGGAGGTTTGCTGCTTTAGTATTATTTAAGTTAAGCTTATACTCCACATTGTTACATTGACTTTTTTTATCTTCAAACATATATATTGTAATTGAAATGTCATTTTTAGCTCGACTGTTTGAAGAATAGGAAGCTATTCTGTACACTCTGGATCAGTGTCACCCTTTGGTTAAGTTTTTTGGGTGAAAGTTGGTATAATAGGCTAATACTTTCTAAGGCTCATAACTCCTACATGGATTTTGACATAATTACAGGCCTTTTTGAAAATCAACTAAGAAAATTTTACATTATCCGGTTATTCGGGCTCTTGTTTCACTATCAAGCACTGAGAATAGTCAAGCACTATCTTACTGATAGCTCTTGTTACATTTATGATAGTGGACATTATAAAATAAATTAAAATGCATGTTTGTATTGTGTTTTCTGTTTATGATCGTAGGACATGATTACAGATTATATAATTAACAAACGATTACACAGAAACCAATTAATCAAATTTAATACAGAAGTAATATCTTGATGACAAGTTTTGTCAGAGGTTTAAAAACTTCAGGTCACAAATAAGTAAAATTGAAGAGGATTATTTAAAAAGTGATTAAGAGTTTCCTCAAGCAGTGTTAACATGCATGTATATATTAAGCACACGTATTTTTATTGAATTTTACGTCCTACCAACACAGTATAGGTGACTTTTCAGCTTTACCGGTGGAGGGTGACTTCAGGTGCCCCCTCTGTACATTATTCCAGACACAGACGGGCACAAAAGTAGAGTCACCGATGTTCCGTTAACCAGCTAAATAGGTATTTCACATGATGTAGAAACCGACATCGGTGCACGGCTCGAACCTACTGCGGTTTGAAGTACAAGACCTTATCGACATGTAATAAACACACGGCAGACATTAAAGGAGATACACGAAACGAAAGATATTGTGACATAGTTTGTTATCACGATTTTGATACAATGTCCCAAATAGTACCACACAGATAATAAAAGTCTATGAAAATTATTCGAAATCGTTTAGAAGCTCACCTCAAGTTTTAATAGTAAGTTTTTAGCCTTTTTTCAGTTGTCGTTTAATCTAATTTCTTACTACATGTATGTATAAACTGCATATTATGAGCTATTACTATAATTTAGTAATTAAAGAAATCAAAGTAAAACAAAACAAACAACAAAATCATGATCATTTGGAGTTGTGCAATTATTTGTCTATTGTTGAAAAGTCTCCAGCTCTTATTAGTAAAGGTTATATATGCAAGTTAAACTTCTGCAAGAATACGGTGGTGGGTTTTGGAGTTTACCCTCCGAATCTCGACCGCAAGCCACTTTGAATCCGTCATTATAGTTCAGCCATCGAATCGTTCCTTGGCAGGCTGTCGAGCAGTTTACCAGTACTTGTTGCCTTCTATCTAGTTGCCTTCACTTTCGCAAGGACCTGATAACTTCTGTACATACCAGAGCAGAGGGACAGTGAAAGAATTTCATGATCAATCATAACGAACGACCTGCACCGCCCGAGAATCGAACCTGGGTCATTTGATTCAAAATCCAACGTTCTACCAATTTAGCTAACTGGACGTTTATAATTAACACATTGTATAATGTTGGCTAATTAAGTACTAATTAATTATCTTCTTGACTGATAGTTTCAGAATACATCTATAGGGGGCATTCACATATTGACGTCAACACATTACAAACATGACAGGAGATATTCTAGCAGGAAAGACTTTACATGTACATACTTATTATCATTCTTACATATTGTTCAAATATCTTGTTGAATTTGCAAGCGCCCTAGAGAATCTCACGGACTTAAAAAGTCCGTAATAAGCTGTATTTAATAGATAATATTATATTTCTCGTTATTGCAAAACAAGCTTTAAATGACGATGCAAAGAGTAAGTACATTGTAGATACGTACTCAACGCCATTCACAAATTTATTAAATTCTGAGCAAAACCAATTACTGAACAGCTTTTCTGTGGTTCCATTATTTCTTTGCAACATTTGCCAAAATAAAAGAACGAAACTCGTGAAATATTATGAACAAATATAAAATAAATGAATAAAGGTTTATAAACTAAATTTGATTAATATTGCGCTATCATGTTAATAAAAGGTACGTGTGTTTTTTTTTTTTAGGTTTTGCTTTATATCATTTATGTACTTCTATCGACCGGTGCTTATCTACTGGACGAGCCAATCAACGTATACTCTCACGACTGTCTCACTCCTCAATCCTGCAAAGGTTGCGGCTACTTCTCATACTCGAGTCCAGTCCAGACGCTACACGATTACCTCATAACGTGCAACAAGGCCAAGTTATCTACATTTCCGGTCGTTCAGCCGATAATTATTACCCAGGACAGCGTTATAATAGACTTCAGTGAAAACTTTCTTACAAGCATTGAAAGCAATGTCTTTAGTAACGTTCATATTCAAGGCATGCCGAAAGTGACAATGAAAATAAGCACTAATGCAATCTCAACAATAGATGACAACGCTTTTAATGGAATTGGACAATACGTAACAAGTTTAGACCTTTCCAATAATCATCTTAGGAACATATCATCAGCTTTTGGGACGCTTCCTAACCTTAAATCCTTGCTTCTGAGCTACAACCTTATAAGTTATGTTGACAGTACGGCAATATTTAGCTTCAGCAATTCGTTAACAAAGTTAGAATTTGATTTGGGGAATCTTCCCTCGTGGCCAAAGGCTTTTAGCAATTTTACTGCCTTGGAACATCTTAAAATTGAACGCATGGATAAAGAACTAAATGGTCCAAGCATTTTCGATGGGTTTGCAAATACATTACAGTCACTGTCGTTGCTGTATTTAAACCGAGATAATGGTCCAAACTTCCGTGTAATTCCGCCAGCAGTTACGCATTTAAATGTGTTGGATACGCTGACCATTAGAGGCGAGGTGTATTGCACGTGCGACCTATTGTATCTTAAAAACTGGCGAATGCCTGGGTTCATCAAAGCAGACGGTAGTTACTTCCTTGGGTGCCACAGTTCAAGCGAACTTTTCATTGAATACGTTAATAAAACACTCCGAAATAATTGTCATTAAAAGACTATTAAATCATTAAAATACACATAGTTATAAAATTAACGCATTATTTAGGCATCTAGTCATATTCTAAAATGTGTATATCTAAACCTCGAAAATTTGATCTTATCGCTAAAGAAAAAAGAATGGTCATTTACAGAACACACCTTCCACACACATTCCATTGAATATTAATATCGCATCAGTGTTAATATGGGATTAGTTTTGTTTGTTTGTTTAGTTTAAACATAGTTTATTTCAAACAATGATACAAGTACATCATGTTGTTAATACATTTACAATAATTAGATACACGAATGAAAAAGGATTAGAGCCGAAAGCTATAAAGCTTATAAAGATCTTCTCCTACATATTTGTACAGTGCAGTTAAATTATGACAGTGTTTGCAATATTGTTTGAAACAGTGAAGTTAATTTTTAACATATTTGAAACGAAAAAAAAAAGAGAAGATTTTAGCTATTGTTCAAAAGATCTTTTTTAAAGAATATAAATAATTGAAAAGAATTAGAACGAAGGTAAAGAAGATTCATTCGGATAGGTCAAATTGGCAAATTATTTGCTCATGAAAATCGGTTACTTTCACGTATATATACATGAACTGCTTGAACAATTTTAGAATTAATGTCATGGCTAAGATTCTGGTCTCTGTTTGTTTGTTTATCTTCTGGTTTGTACGCCGAATTTTTACACAATTTTGGTCGTATTTTGGCAGTCGATCCACATAACCAGCTTCCCTCCATTATTGACCATTAATTTTAACTTAATTATCAGCACAATCAAAACTAACCCTTATCCCTCATGGACTCGAAAGTGCCTGCCTGTTGGTTTATATTGTGTTTTTGTCGGGATTATTTATACCCGGCGACACGGGAATAAACAGCATGGCTAAGGATATGGTATATATTATAATATGTTCATCCATATAACAAAGGGCATGCAGCTTCTTCCTAAATCACTAATGTACTTGAAATGTTTCGAGTGTAAAATTCGCCGATCCCAGCAAAAACAAATTCTGGTTGAAGCACTGTAAAAGTATGCTGGAACAAATAATTAGTATTCTGCTTCTGAAAGTTTTGCCATTCTCACAATTTTTGTTCGACAGGATAACGCCATTCACTCAATGGACATACTGGCTTCATCCCACACATCGATGAAACGTAAAGTCAACAAAAAATCATTTGAAGCGCATCCTTAGTATAATCTTATCTATATGGATATACAATAGCTTTAATTGACAACATGCATTAACAAGTTGAAATGCAAATTAACACGATGTCAAGGGCAATAACTCTCATTTGAAGCGCATCCTTAGTATTATCTGATCTATATGGATATACAATAGCTTTAAATGACACCATGCATTAACACGTTGAAATGCAAATTAACACAATGTCAAGGGCAATAACTCGAACAAAAATTGAAAAAAAATCGACAAGTAAAAACCCAGGTGCACATCTTCACGTGTTGATCAACATTCCTGTAAAGTTCGTTGATTCTAGCTCAAGCATCAAGGAATACATAACACAACATTTTGGATTTATTTATACTAAGGACAATTACTCTATAAATTCTTAATAAATCCACAAGCAAACACCAAGGTGCACAACCACACATGCTGACCAACATTTCTGTAGAGTTTCATGACTCTACATGTAGGTCAAATGAAATTTAAGCTATGTGCGGCACAAGCTGAAATTTGCAAATTTTAACTAACTTAAGGGCAATAACTCTACAAATACTGGCTAAATACACAAATGAAACCCCTAGAGGACACAACTACTCATGCTGACCAGCATTTCTGTGAAGTTTCATGACTAGGTCAAATTAATTTTTTTTCAGGTCAAACGTTTTTGGTTTTTTTAGCTATGTGCGGCACAAGTTGAAATTTGCAAATTTTTACTCAGTCAAGGGCAATAACTCTACAAAACTGAGTAAATTCAAAAGTGAAACAGCCAGGGGCACAACTACACATACTGACTTACATTTCTGTAAAGTTTCATGACTCTAGGTCAAATAAATTTTGAGCTACATATTACACAAATTGAAAATTTGTTACTAAGTCAAAGGAAATAACTCTGACAAAACACAATCCAAAAACAACACTTCACATGCTTATCAACATTTCTATAAATTTTGTTGACTATCACAAGCACTTTTAGAGCTACATGTGACACAATATGAGAACGGACAAGGGAAATTCTAAACCCCCATCCCCCTATGGTCGGGGCACAAAAAAACAACAACAATTGAGATAATATAGTTATTAATTGCATGTACAAGACATCAATTTGATCATGTCAACAAACAAAATGAAAATGGCACTCTACTGCTTATAAATCACAAACAAGTAAAGGTGTAGCACAAATTAATTTCACATAGCACAATAACAAACAAATATAGCTGTACATAGCATGGTAACAAACAAACAAATCAATTTTCAGCATTATGTAAGTAAAAAAAACGTTTTATTGTACATATGTATATGTTCTTAATAAAATATTGAGAAATAGTAATACATACTTTCATTTTCCTTATTTTCACTGTAAAAAAAAATTCACTGCAGTGAAACTCATTTTCTGTATTTGCACTTGTGTCTTGCAAGACTTATTTCTTCTAAATTCAAATCAATTTAATAATCGTAAGTTCAGAGGAAAGTAAAAAAAAAACCCAAGAAAACTGTGTTATGAAAAATATCATATTTCACTCGTGGCAACTGTCACTGGTGAAATTTTTAACATTAAATCACTCGATAATAAAAATAAATCCAGGTCCGTATTTATACAAAAAAAAAACACAACAAATTAATATCCTCTATATATGTTTGAAATTATAGAAAACAAAATGACAGTCTGTATTCAATGTATGTACACTACTGATTCTGTATTTTATAGTTATTGACAAAAGCCTTAACCTGCTAAATATTTATAATGGATTTGCTCTGCTTTAGGAACAGTCGATTTAAAGTTTAATGGCCTTTTAAAGTTGATTGGTACATACAATGGGTATATTTTCCATAAGTATTTTACATATTACTAAAAACAAAAGAAATGTATCAGTTGCAGATTCATACAATATTTGAGCCGCGTCACGACAAAACCAACATTATGCGTTTGCCACCAGCATGGATCCAGAACAGCATGCGCATCCGCGCAGTCTGATCAGGATCCATGCTGTTCGCTTACCAACCCTTTTACAAGTTACTGTAGCAAAACTGATAGTGAACAGCATGGATCCTGATCAGACTGTGTGGATGCGCAGGCTGGTCTGGATCCATACTGATCGCAAACACATTATGTTGGTTTTGTCATGGCGCGGCTCATATTGCTTGAAAAAATGCTGACAAAGTTCTAAGTGTGCTTGTATGAACAAAATAATCTTTTTGTTCTATAATATATTATTACTAGTATCTGATATATAAATATATGTAATATCGGATCATGTATCTCACACTTGTCAACAACATCAACGAATCTACTATCACAATGAAATGTTGTTTTCTAATTTCAAGAAATTTAGCATTAGTCTAAAATGGATACTGCCATTAAGCCTAAAATTCTCTTTTTTTATAAGCTTATTATTTTTGGTGTACTATTACAATATATGAGATAAGCATCTAACATGTTTTAATTAAATGATAAATCCATTATTAAAACATTATAAAACACATGTTTGCCATTTTTACTGGAGAAATAATTCAATAATTTCTGAGGCTATAATGTGCCTTTAAGTACTTCGTGTTATTTCAACTACTCGCCAACTATTTCCATGAAAAAAACCTCATGAAAGTTTGTCACCATGCAGCACTATCAAAATAAACATATTATAAAACCGAATTGAAGCTAACAACACACTGAAATGAATCTTTTTTTTCATAAGGAAAATGTAACATTATTGAAACTGGATGCCTAACAGATCTTATGCCATAAGGGATCCATTAGGTTTCATTATAACAAATGTAAAGCAAATAAGTAAAACAATCCAATTATGCCAATTATTAAGTATAACAGATTGCAATAATACATTACACTTAGAACAAGTTTCATGAATTATAGATAATCTGAACAAAAAAGCAACAATTTAATAGTTTAATGCTTTTGAATCAACATAAAAAACAGACCAATATTTATAAACAATCATTTATTATAAAATGCCTTCAATGTAACAAATTTTTACAAACATAACAATTTCTGACTAAAAAAATACTCACACACAAAACAAAATCATTCTAGACAAGAAGTGATAAAGTAATTTTATACAAGAGAGTCATAATGGCCTAACATCATACGTGGAGAATATCATTGATCATCTACTTGAGTACAACAATATACACTTTATAAAAACAAACAGATTGTCATCATAAGAAGAAGCTAAACACAATTATTAAAGAAAAAAAAATACAGTTTTCAACATATATTTTAACAAAATGAAAACTTTGACTAGAATCAAAATCAATTTCAGTTTATATCAGATTAAAATGCAGTTTTATCAAGTTAGAGTGTATCAACTATTTTATAGTTGAATATAGAATATCATAGTTGAATATAGAATACCAAAAGTTTAACTCAGTTAATTCATTATTTACAAAGTGATTACAGACTGAATCCGACTAATTCGACAAAGGTACCATGCCTTCTTAAAATTTGTTATTCAAGTTTCATTTCTAAGAACTACTTCACAAAAATTAAATTTATCAAGGTTCAAAAACAAATGCCATAAGACAGATTGTATTTGGACAGACTGTCATGGATATATGAGTTTAAGCATAAGATATGCGAAGTGTTTTTTACTTCTTTCTATAGACCTGGGATATAAAATAACCGGACAGGCAACAAGAGTAAGTGCAACGTTACCTGAATCATAATGTCTAGTCATCATGGTGGCATGCACTGCCATTGTGTTCTTATCAATCCTTGAAAATGTTTTTTTGTTGTTTTTTTAAGTTAAACACTGTACACAAGTCTGACATATTAACAGTACTGTCATATTTAAATAGTTTAACATGATGTTATGAAGATTTATCAA